ACATCATACGAATTTGTATGCTATTTGAACTCATGAATAACGAATAGAATCGTTATAGATAGAGTTATATCCAGCTCTCAAATCCAAATAGATCGTGCAAGGGGCGCATAATACTGAAGAAAAAGCTTCAGCCATTGATGTTCCACTATTCTCAAAAAATAGTCATAGATCGTTTTATTCTCATTTCCTCATAGGATATCTTGAAAATTCAATATCCTAGGAATGAAGGCACGAGGGAATGAATCCTTTTCAGGTCTTTCATATCTCATCGAGGTCTACTTATGGCCAAAAGATGAAGTCTAAACGGCTTGAACACTTGGGGACCTTCCCTCGACAGTTTTAGTACTAGTAGGAAAATACTTGTAACTTTTTGACGCGGGACCATAGAAAGTTGTGCGAGGTCTTATTTTGATCAGAAAAGTTTGCTCTACAAATCTGTGCGTTCAGAAAAAGATTTAATTGCATAAGTATCCAGGAAAAAACCATTATTTGAAGACCAGGTTTTCGGGGCTCGTAGAAAACTTGCTCGAAAGCCACGAAAAATCGCTCAACCGAAAGCGATACACATTCTGAAAGTAGACACTTCAGGCTATCTTCCCATGTGCTTATCTAAAAAACGATTTTTTGGCTGAAAATCACCATTTCTGAGGAGGTAGCCCTTAAGCGATAAGCTAAAATAGTTCTGAGCCTATAAAATTTCTCCTTTTTCCTTCCATCTATTACTCTTTTTAGCACTTTCAAAATCGTTCTAAGACTAGATTATGGTCTTGACCATATCTACGTTTATTATGTTTTTCGGTATTATATGATGGCTCCTCACTACCATTGCCAAAGAATTTCAAAGTACATGTATTAAGAAAATATATGTTAAGTGAGTAAAACATACTGTTTCTCCTGAAACTGGAGGCTATAAACTCATTTCTTGGGTTTTTAGTTGAAAACTGCTACTAATGAGGTTTTACGAATAAGAGCCGTTCCAAAAATGCAAATCTTTTTCAAAATTAATTCGAGCGAAAATAAATCACGGTTTTTTGTTGATTTCTTGCGTTCTGAAGAACGTTGATAGAGCAGACTTGGTCAGTTTGAATAGCTCGATGCCTTCCTTGCAACTATCCTAGATAATCTTTGAAGGTAATCATCCGTTCCTTAGATCACTTGCTGGCTCTGAGATTTGAATACAATAGCTTTTAAGTATATGAACAATAAATAGGCAGTAGTTTGATAATTTAGTGAAGCTAGTTGATCATATATTTACATCAAACGGAGGAGGAATGAAAAGCCATAAATTGAATAATCTGAGAAGAAAAACTTCAATAATCTTGGACGACATCACAAATAGAAAAAAGTTGATAAACAAGTCTTATAAAACTTAGTTGTGGAATATACTCGGAACATAACGTTAACGTACTGCTGATCGAAAAAAACTGAATTTTTTTTCCGGACTTTGCTTTACTCGTCCATCTATTTTCACAACACAGTATCATAACCATCCAGTTGTACTGTTCTTTATTGTATCGTGGACTCGTATTAGGCTTGAATTGTAACACTTAAACGTCACCTCTATTTATAGCATTTTAATACGGTATATTTTGTCTATATAGTATAAAATATATTTTATTTTACATTTTATAGTATGTGTGTTAGGTATATCAGTTTATACATAAAAAAACAAATTGTTATAAAAGAAGAGTTGAACGAAATGAGAGAACACCGGACAAACAGATTTGTACAAAACAAATATCAGAAGTATTTGGAGTGATTCAATACAAGAAAAAGAGAAAGAAAAATAGGTACCTCTATTTTTTCTCAGAAAATTATTGCTTTAGATTCTTTTCGTAAAAAAGCTTAGTGGCGTAGACCCTACGGGTTCAATGGAAAACATCTGACGTGTACGCAGTAATCGACGTCGACTAGGGAATTGTATCAGTCTGACTGAATAAGACAATCTGTTTTTGTTCGGTATGTACAGTGCATTGAACATACGTAACGCGCAGCACTGTACAAATGAAAAACTGTACCAGGGAAAAAGATCCCAAAATACCGGTTTGTCATACTACACTGACACTGAGACTCTTTTAAATAATATATAAAAGTTCTGCTGCGTGTGCAAAATGACGTCTTTTCTACTGATGAGACAAGCTGAGTCTACTAAGATAGGTATGAGTATCCTTACACCCGTCCGTTCAAATATGGGGGCTGAGAGGTAAGCGAAAACGCAAGCTCTTCTTGTCTATAAAGTTTCACTTCTCCTTTTATACAAACTGCACTTTGGAGTTTTACAAAAGGCAAGATAAATGTATGGCGGTAAGCGAGACCAATAGAAGAAGAATAAAATACAACGTTGAGGGGTGGTCGATTGATTTTTTACCACTGCTTGCTCTGTTGTTTTTCGCTGGCGTTGACGACATCGGTGGGTAAAAATATCGTTCAGTGTGATCTAAATTACAGAAAGATTGAGTCATAGATGAAGAAGGACAATAGTGGCAGAAAAGAAAATCATTTTTACTGTTTCTTCTGTAGTGATGAATTGCAGTCTGACTTTTGACACTATTGTTTGATACGCCTTCTTCAATTCGTTTATATATTTGATTACTGAATGATTCGTTCATAGGTAAGTCTAATTCAAAGTTATTATAACTATTTTCAAATTGTGGTGATGGTACATCGTATTCTTCTCTTTCAATAACGTTATTTGAACTGTCGTCATAAAATTCAAAGTTAGGAATGTCAATAATCGACGGCATCTTTTTCGGTCTCAGCGAAATGACGATCGAACTTACTAATTCCATTTTTTTATTCAATTCCTAAATTTAAAGTGTGAGGTCTCGGAGTTAAAAGCCTATGTTTCGGGTTGAAGAAATTTTCTACTTTTCCCATAGAGATAATTATAGCCATATCGGTTAAAAACATAAAAATTTTAATATGGCATTCTCTTTCTATCTTACCTTTAGTTGATTTTCCGTATAATCAATGATATTGTTTTCTATAGATAGTATTGTTGCTGCTTGATGTTTCACTTGACTTGGCCATCCTCCATCACTAAATTATGCAAAAATAGAATATAAGATAATAAGTTAAAGAGGAGCATACTCGTTGATTTTTGAACAATCATTCGATTTTGTTGCATATCTGATGTTTTTACATATATCTAATTGAGCACTTTCGAGCGTAATATTTAAATTTTCTAAATTGGATGACAAATCATTGACTATTCGATGAATAGATGTATTCCATTTATTAACAAGTTCTTGACGCTCATTCATGACTGGTGGCAACGAGTTAATGGGTGCAAATTGACGAGAATTTCCATTTGGACATTCACTTTGTAATTGTTTGTATGTTTGAGCATTATTTATCGCATTAGCAACCATATCATACAGATATATGTGCAATTTTGACAGACGTTCCAATAACTAAAACGTAAAAACAATTTAAATCTATTTTTATATAAAACTTATAGTGTAACAGTTACGTTTAACTCGATAATTGAACTCTGCATTTCTTGTAAAATAATCGCGTATCCTTTTGCTTTCATTGCATATGATCCATACGGATTTTGGCTTGAATTACTGATACACTGCCGAATAAATTGGCGACAGTCAGAATAACATATTGGACTTTGTATGCTATTTGATGAGCAAATTGGACATAATGTCGCACGTGAATATTTTTGAGTACAATCATTTAAATTTTCATTAAATATTGTTAAATTATCGTTTTTCAATCGATACATATCAGACTCAATATAGGTTAACATGTTACGTAGAATATTTAATATTGTTGAACTACTTGATAATATGTACAATATTTCACGTTGCGATGGAAATACATCGATTTCAAAACCTTTTGTTATTAAACATGAACGAAACTCGTCTGTAAATCGATGATTATATTCATTATTATTGTCATTCATCATGAAATGACGATATGTAGAAACGATCATATGTTTAAATAACTCGGTTATTGGTTTATGAACTTCATCGGACCGTTCAGCTTTCAGTGAATCAAATAATTGTCCAATTGAATAATGAATATTATGTCGATATTCGTATGTACCAAACAAAGTTTCCATTGATTGTTCAGTTAAACGCTGTATTTCACCAAGATGTTCAATAACCCATACTAAAATTAAAAATAAATATATATATATATATATATTGAAGTTATGAAATCTGCGTGAACGACTCATGGCTATCAAAAGTAAGAGTATAAGAAATCTAATAAAATATGCACAAGTCTGTTCTTATTTCTACTTATTTTTCCTACTGAAAGCCTATGATTGATTATAGCTCAATTTTTTATGTGCCTTTAGATATTCACAAAGAATGACAATCAAATAGAATTGCTTTCCAAAATGACTATAGACGTTTTGTTTTATCATTTCTAAGTGTCACTTGATCTGGTTTTAATTCCTAATAATAATAGCTCTGAATTGTACTTTTCACTCATATTTTTTTGTTAGATGCTTCATGTAAATTTCCGAAACTTCTCATAAGAGATACAAATCCATATTTTCCAGTGTATTCTTAGTCAATTAAGAAGTATCTCTTTTCAGAAACAAATATTTTTACAAGAAATTGTGTTTCTCAAAAGAGATACATTATCTCTCATTTTCGAAATTCCAAATAAAAAGTCAATTAAATATGAAATAGAAGCAATCGAAATTATCTCAAGCGATATTTAGTACTTTGATGAATAATATTTAAAAAAATTTATTTTAAAAAAGAAGTGAATTTTAATCTTCACTGTGGAAAAAGTATGAAAAGAGAACGGAGTTTGGACTGAATGTAGAGCAGAGTACGAATGATTAAATTTTTACACTGTTTAGAGAACAGGACTAGAAGGAGAACGGTTTTGAACGTTATTTTTTCACTGTAGTAGTACAGTTCTAAAGTAGAATTTTTCATAGGCACGCTTCTTCATATTTACACGTTGATACGTAAACAGTAAAAGAACAATATTCTGAGGCTGGGTTTTCACAAAATGTTGTTATAATTAAAGAATTAGAAACATTAGCACTAAGATGGTCTTATGGTGTTATAAAATATGCAATTCCAATTCCATGGAATATTTTTCTACATGGTAGATCAAAAAAATCTAATGTTGCTCTACTTTTTTGAAATATCATACATATTTGCACTTTTTTACACAATCTTTTTTTGCATATAATACAAGGTAATTCATCAAAAGTCACTCTTCGAACATACGATCGTTCTCTTTTCAGTCTTTTGAACTCGGAATTCTGAACCATTCTCGTTTCTGCACTAACTCTCGTCTCTTCTCGACTTTTTCGTTTTTTAATTCTAATCACTCCAAATTTGACCATAAATAGGCAACCGTTCTCTTTTTAGTCCTAATTCCGTTTTCTAAAAAATCCTTGTCCTTTTGCTGTCCGCTGTCTTCATCCACATCCGTGCTAATATTTGAATCACGAGGTTTGTTAAACACTTCCAAATAATTGTATCCAAAATGACGATAAAATCTTCGATATTCTACTAAGTCTATTTCTTCACTTAGCAATGCTTCTCTGGCAGAAACTAAATAAATATCGTGATCAAGAGCTAAATTGCTGTTTTGGGTTTTTTGACAACTTTATGTTTAATACTACGAACACCTCCATCGACATGTGCAGGAAACTGAATATGTACGATTTACACATAATTTTATTATTTTGTAAATTAATCGATGAAGCACTACTATTAATTGTACACATCCACTGTTCAGAGCCATTTTTATTTATTCGTTGACATCGGAAAAGATTTACTTTGAACAATATTCTAGAAGCGTCTTTTTGAGTTTGCTTTCGTATAAAACTCATAATAATTTTTTAAAGTGTGAGACAACACGGATTTTGAGCACTGTTACTTGTACACATGTCGAAACAATGAAATTTGAACTGTACAGCATTGAACCTTTTATGAAACCCGTTTATCTTTAAGATTAAGCCAAACCGAGTGGCGTAAACTTTTTGAATCAATTAAAGTACTAATTATCGCTTAAGATAACCTTGATTACTTCTACCTCATATTTAATTTGATTTTTATTTGGAATATAGAAATGAGAGATAATCTATCTCTTTTGAGATATGAGAGATTCCTTCCATATGTATAATTGTATCTCTTTTGAGAAACGCAATTTCTTGTAAAAATATTCGTTTCTCAAAAGAGATACTTTTTAATTGATTAAAAGAGATACATTGAAAAATATGGATTTATATCTCTTATGAGAATATATATTATATCTCTTTTGAGACATTGCCGTAAATTTCTATATCTGTACTGAGTAAGATAGAAATATATATTTATTTCAGCTACGATTAGATCATTAATGAAAATGTAGATTGACCTTTGTATGTTATAATTTCTCATTCTAAAGTCGTATTATTTTCTGCTTATAAATCTTCAATGTCATTTTATAAATAATGAGAATTTTACCGTGAAAAAACAGAAGAAAAAACATTCAGTATTTAATATTATTTTCTAAAATAAATATATTATTTCTCTTATGGATTTTATTGCGATTTTATCATAATGATAATGAACGCAAACCCATGAAAAATCAATAACTTACATGCAATTTGATTGCGTGCATTCGATAATAAATTTGTTAAACGTGTGAATTTTTTTCTAGCCAAAATCTTTAATTCATTAGTAATACTAGTTGAATATGAATTTATTATATCTTTAGTACAACAAGAAGGTTGTCTGTAACCACACGCATCGTTTGTATAAACAGCTAGACATAAAAAATAAAGAAAAAAACAAATTAAAATATTGTAGAAAAGGGAATTGTAGATGATTATTTCATCAGATCAATGACGTATTTAATGTACATGAAAAACAAATTATTTCTTTCTTACCAGTTATACTTTTGGTATCTCTCTAAACCATTAATTTTCAAATTCTCTATCGTTAAGAAATTAGAGACTACACTTTAATAAAAATAAATGTTAGAAAATAACTTACTTTTATACTGACTATTAATCAATCGTTCTGTAAATGTTACAAATGGTGTCAATCGTTCATTTCGACTATAGCAAGGATTTCGATAAGCTAAATTTTCTCGATCACCTGAACATTGTGTTGTAATGACAAGAAATAGAATAAGAAAATTAATTAATTTATTAAAATTTTTATATGAATATTCTGGAGTGGCCATAACGTTCCAATATATAGATGACGGTTAAAATTGCTGTTTGATTTTCTTCGATATCGATACATTTATCATTAATCAAGCATTGATTTTTATTATTATTTATACAATAACTCGGTAATGATTAATTTTAATAGACATGTTCATATGAATCTACCTAGACACCTGATATATTTGATTTAAAAGCAATATGAAAGGTGACATTGGTTTAGTTGTATTTTTGTTTTCTTTTTTTTTCTTTTTTTTTTCTTTTTCGAAAAAAATACTTTTGTTTTGCTGTTGATCTATAACTCAAATATCCCTTTAACGTTAACTATTACTGTTAATTTAAGTCATCACATACTTGAAAGAATGAATAGGTGTATAAAACGAATAAGAAATAAACAAATGTAATGAGAAAAAAAAACAGGTATTTGTTAACTTTCGCGACTGTCCAAAAGTTCCTACCAGTACTACAAAATCGTTAAGTGAAAAGTTGTTCTTTTCTAATCTGTTTTTTTGAATTTCTCTGATTAAAGTAAAGAACTGCATACCAAACAACAGTCTTCTTATATGTTTAGCAACTACTTGCCCAAATAATTGAAATAGCTGAAATTGTATCTATAAAATATCGGATTTTCTCTTTTTTTCGTTTTTTCTAAAACATAGACTGTATATATCATAGTGGAATCTAAACTACAAAATACCGTTTTTTTTCTTTCCTCTGTTTCTGATAAGGTCAAGATAGATCCACACATCTTCTGATATTAAAAGCATCATAAAACGGGGGACGATCTGAAATATCAATGTGGTATCCGTATATTAGAAAGATGATTACTTATTATACAACAAATATTAAAAAAGAAAATATTTGAGACAATAAAAGTATACTCACTTTTTATTGAAATGAAGATGGAATGAATTTGCAGTCAGTTAATTTTATCCTTCTTGATTTCTACAGTAGGAATGTATATATGTATTATTGGTATGGAAAACTGGCAAATAGGATATTTATACAGAAACTTAGTCGATATTTTATTTTTTTTTTCACTTTGAAACTATATTTAAAGTACGAGCAGGCTTAATCGAAGGGAGGAGAGTAACAAAACATCTGATTATTTTATTAAAGAACGTAGTTAAAATTGGAGCCCTTTTTTTTTGTTCTTTTGATTTTGATTTCTTTTTCTTTTTTTCGCTGACCTTCATTTTCTACATGATCTACATTCCACACTTACGTAAATTGAAAACATGAATAGAACGCATGAGGAGATTCGTACTCAAGCAACACAACAAAAAATATCTTTATCTCTCTTCTCTGTCGATCAAACAAAGTATCATTTTTAATTTTCGCTTAAAACCAAAATTAATTGGTATACCTATTTGCATCAGTTAAGTTAACGAGACCTTTGTTCGTTACGCTTTAGATGGCAATAAATAAGATAATGAAATTCTCAATGGTAATGTATTATTGTATCTAATAATGGAATTGCAATATGTAAATCCTAAGTGCATATTGAATTAATTTTTAGCTGTTGAACGCAATTGAAATAAAATATTCTCTCCTCTCGTCTTTTATACAAGTTAATTTATCTCAAAAATACTTTGTTTATATAATACTGGAAGAAGAGCGAGAGAGAAAGAACCTTGTTTGAAAGTCTAATTATATTAAAATATTATTACGTGAAGGTAGGTTTCTTACAATTATGCTCGAAAAAGATGAATACGTCAAGAAACGCAAAATAAACACCACGAAAATGATATATTCTTCTCTCTTTTTGTTCTTATTGACACATATTTTTTCTATTTTTCTCTTGCGAAAAAAATTTAAATTTTTTTTTTTTTGACAACATATGTTGCATTAGTGGGAGCAACTGTTGTTGACAGGAATTTTATAGACTCAATAGAGATATCATTCGTATAATAGCGAATAAGATGTTATTGTGCTTTTGATCGCCTGCCTTTTTTTATCGTTCGCACATGTACAGAAAAGAAAACAAAGCCTCTTTCGAGGGGGTATACACTGGATATAACCGCTTGAAATTGTGCACTTTTTTTGCAATAAGTTTTTCTCAACTGGGTTTTGCAAAATAGACGTATATCTACAACATGGGAGTACTTTTCGTCTTGATCCAGTACTTATGGAAAAAATCTTTCTTAAAAGTCCCATGACCGGTTATAACCGGTTTAGGGCTCTTCGTCGAAAAGCACTTATGACAGAAATAGAAAATATGAAGACTTCTGCTATATAGTTCAACTTGTAGAAAAATGTTTGCTCTACAAAGCCCAGTTGTTAGAAAAATTTTAATATGTGTACTTTTTTCATGCAATCCGTTTAAGAAAAAATGGTGAAATTTATCAATTATAACCGGTGTATGTCTACGTTCGAGGAGAAAAATATAAAAAAAGAAACGGAAAGTGGAACAGACATTAGAAAAAACACGTAGACATTTTTATAGAAAATCAAAACACTTTTAAAAATAAGAATCGAAAGAAGATCAAAAATGGAAGTAAAATATGTAGAGAAACTTTTGTTTATTATTTGTACTAAGAATAAATCTAGTAAGTTCACTGTACACATTTTCTTTTTCTACTCACGAAGATCAATAACGAGAAAATGTCAATCAAAAATGTTCATGTACACTTAGGCTGTACACGGTGTATTCCCGATTCATCGACACATTTAATTTTTTTCCTGACTCATCGACAACATTTTGGGCAGATTCTATTCACCTTTTCTTTATTTTCTTCTGTTGTGTTCTCTATCAGACAATACAGACTTTAATGGCAATGTCGAGATAACATGATGACCATTTTTGTTTTTTATTTCCGTATACGTACCTTCATATTTGTTTGTGAGTGAATGCAAAGAGTGCTTTAGCCAGTCTATTTCTATTTAAAAGTAGAAAAAGGATGTTGATGAATGACGGAAGAAGAAGAGCAGCAACAATAGAAAAAAGGTGCATCATTCTATACAAAGTATTTCTGATTGATGCCTTGAAACATCTGTATAGTAGTAAATGACAACTGACGATGAAACAAGGTTACAGATATCATTTGCAATTCTTTGTTCTATGAGATGTACTCCATAATAGAACTTGTCTGAGAAATTTTACAAAACACATACAGAGATTAACACATTAGACTATTGTATGTATACAAAATAGAATAAGAACAAAAGAAGACATTGTAAATAATTATTGTTAATAGAATGGATAGTATCAGGTATACACAGACATTCTTAAGACTTTCTCAGCACCTGTAGAATCTACATACATTCAAACTTTTATCATTGATACGAGATAGAAACTATTTATTCGGTTTTACCTTCTTTCTCTCTTGACTTTAGAAACAATTTAAAAATGTCACTCTACACAATCACTACACATTTTTTTGTTTTCTCTTTCTTCTCCTCGTTGTTTCTGTCTCATTAAAAATACATTAAATCATTTAGACAGAACCAAAACATATCTCATATCTTGCAATTCATGACAAAGTATGTAATAAAAATTCACCTCTATAGTGTTATCTTGTACTTTCTAAAAATAAGGGTTGTGTATAAAATCTAAAAGGGTATAGAGAAGTGCAATTATTTCTAAATTCTTTTAGATTTCGTAGAAGTAAAGGTACGGTACGAAACCGTTTGCAATGAATTTAAGTGAATTGAAATCATTGATCAGTGCAGAGAGAAGAAGAGAGAGAGAAAGAGAAAATAAAAGAGCTCAGAAAGAGAGAGAGAGAGAGGATTATTTTTCCTCTGAAGCACGAATTGCGCCGAGCAACAAGCTGTTAATGAATATATGAAAACTGTCTAAGTTCAAAGTCAATTTTCTTCCACTTTTCAAACCCTGTGGTGCCAGTTCCAACATGAATTTTGGAAACAGAGCATTCAATGGTCAGTTTTTGCTACTCATAGAACAATTTCGTGTTTTCAGAACTTTTCTACGTTGTGTAGTTCTCGAGATCACGCAGCTCACATTTTGCGAAACAAAGCGACTAAACAAGGAAAAAACAACTTCCCAGCAAAAACTCATTATGTGTGTCAACATAAAAATTCTGAAGTGTTTTTTGACGCAGTTTATACCGCATTATATATTGAAAACACTCCTGAACTTCTAGAATAGTTCACAGCATACAAAAAACACTTTTTCTTATAATTTTGTGCCTGAAATGACTGCAAAAAGGTTCGTTAGTTTAGTTATGGAACCTTTTAAAGGTTCTTAACTGGCATCCAACTGAAGAATCTTTTAGAGGTCCCGTAAAACACTTTTTTTCTTACAGAGTAGAATATCAGTAGATGATCGAATCTTCATTAAAATAGGACTGTATTTTATAACTTACGTACAAAATACTTACTGGACTATAAGCGTTCCTGGCAAGAAGAACTAAAGAAAAAAACTAAAAAAAAGTAGACAACAAGCAGTATCAAAATATCGAAGTTTTATTACTAAGAAAGTTTCCAACATATAGTCGGGCGGAAAATTGATTTTAGAACCAGCAAGAATATTGTTACAGTAAGTGAGATTAGAGAATAATAACAGAGAATAACAATACCGAAAAGAAGCTTCAACACCCGTCGGGAGTCATTAAAAGTATATATCTGCATCAGGAGTGGGCAAGTCCGGACTGAAGGATTTGTTTGAAGGACTCGGACTTGAACTTCAGTTTTTGTATTTCGAGTCTGATCGATTCAACTTTTAACATAAATGAACAGAGAAATTTGCATATTTTCAATATTAGTATGGGGTATGTAGACGCATATGTGTTCCTCTCTTTAAAAATTATGCTTAAAAAATGTGTTATACGGCACAGAAGAAAACAGAAATATAAATAACGACAACAAAAAAAGTTTGAACAAATTATTGGACTCAGGACTCGGATTCACCTAGCCCTGAGCTACGTCATTACCTCAAAATATGAATAGCTTGATTAGCAGGTGTAGATTTAAATTGGTAATATTTTTTGTGTTATTCAAAAACAAGGGTAAGTAAGTTGATCTATGCCTCTATGATAAACGAAAAAATTGCATTCCAAAGTCAAATATATTCAATACAGAGAATTTGCACCTTGAATCACTACTATTATAGAACAATCAAACTGGAAAAGTTCTGTAACATATATTCAATGATAAATTACACTTTAATGGCCTTTCTGTTCTAAAAATAAGTCCATTTACAACTAATACGTAATATTTCCATCTTGAGATATAAATTCTCGTCGATATAAATCACATTGTCAGTTAGAATTCATTATTTTTATTTATTTTTCTATATTTATGACAACAAAAGTAGTGGCATTTTTTCATCGCTGATGTCATCGATATAGACTAAAAAAAAGCGACAACATTTATTTTTATCATCCTTGATGATAATAAAACTCGTTCGCTGTTATTCCTACTTATAGCTGATTAGTTTCGACGTCATCGAACATTACTGTGTGTTTCTAGTATAACCCCCGCCTCCCCATAGTAGAAGATTAACTTAAATCGATTTTAACTAAAAATAGTGGAAAGAATCTCAGGAAAAACCGTCAGCAGCGGTCTTCTAATAGGGAGTGGTCTTCTGTTATGGGAAAGGGAGGATCAGGATGAATAGTAATAACACATTCTGTTACCTTCTCTTAGTTTTGAAGACTAATATGAATTGATTTTTTTATGTGACATCATCATTCATGCCATAAACATACCGCAATGTGTCCGTTTTGATTTGACATGAAAAAAAATACAAATTCTTTTTTATTATGATTATAACATATGATCGATAGTGTGCTGTCCAGTATGTGACAGAGGAATAAAAATAAAGTAATCATCTTCAACGGGAATTGTACTCATTTTTCTCTTTTAAGCACATATCTCTCGTTATATAAATTATATTGTAGCAAGAAAAAGGAAATTAGTCAAATGATAAAATTTGTGGTTTTTTAAAGACAGAACGGAGAAAAAAGTGGGGTTATTTTTTTTATAATAATGCGGTTGATGAAAAGAACAAGTCAGAACCACAAAAATAAAGAAAAAAATGTAGAATATGTGTGTTTCTAAATTGCAAAAAAAAAGAAGAAGAATGGTAACAGAAATTCAATGTACGAATAGCACGTAAAACCTGAGATGTAAATATTTCGTTGTTTAATATAGTAATTGATATTGTACACAACTGATGGGAAAACGATAGTTTCCTGATGGTTTTTTGTTTGATAAATGCCTTTTTTCACATATTAGGAAAAGTTATTATTATTCTAGAAGCTGGTCAGGAAAATACTAGGAGGCAGAA